GTCTATTGGTTGGGAAGGGTTGAAAAATGGCGATATAAACATTTGCAGAAGATCGAAGTTTATTCGCAGATATCCATACAACGACAAGATATAGTGGGAAACTTGGACCTTGTGATGCAGAAAATGCATCATGAATATGGAAGAGATAGGTTGGTTACCATGAACAGATTCGTTGGGGGAACCTTCCGGGGCAGTGCTTGTCGTGCTTGTTCCATTGTTTTGTGTGGACCAGGTTCTGCGGGATCCTTGGAATGAGGGAAACAGGCAAGGCGAAAGGGAGGAAGGGGGTGAGCGGCCATCACCCCAGTGTGTGCATGCAAGAAGGCCTAGGAAACTGGCCACCTTCCCACCAGCCATGCATGTGCACTCGGCGGAGAGACTAACAAAAGACCATCTTTGGGGCCAAAAAAGAAAGATGTGCACGATAGTGAAGAAGCGCATGGGGGAAGAAACAACCTGTGTCCCCGCAGATAAAAACCTTCATTTTGGGCAGGTGGATACGAACAATGCAAGTCAGTCCAGGAGCCCGGTTAAGCGATAGGCGCGTCAGAAGATGATTGGCGAAGACAAGGGAGGAAACCCTTGAGAGCCGACCCCTCAATTCTGGTTGGGCCCAGCAGGGAAAGGCGCGCTCCGAACCGTAGTCGCATGCCAGGTCATTGGTAACATCACTCACCAGCCCGGTGAAGTTTGTTAAGCTGGCTCCCGTCTGTTACCAGTCCACGGGGTGCAAGTCAACTGGTCATTGGCACGCGCCACCAATTAGCTCGGACGATGCTCGGTTCCGGCAATCCCTTTACAGCCCACTGCAGTCGCAGCCATACTTTGGTACACCAGAATCCTACCAGCAGATAATCTGGGATGAGCGGGGCTGACCCTCCTCTGTGTTCCATGGATTGAAAGCCGCTTAGAAAGTGGAAGGAAGGCATGGAAGGCTCCATCCCTGTCACAGATGATGATTAGAGTGGCAATAGAGGAAGGTATTGTACAGTACATACCGAAACTGAGCCTCGGGCTTATGGAAGAAGACAATCTATGTAAGAGGTGGAGCTCACACGGCCGGGGCGAGGAAGCAGAATAGGCGGTGAAATTAGCTACCCGCTCCGAGTAAGCTAGTGCTGAGTGCTTAAGCCAAAAAAAAAAAGCATTAAAACAGTTAACTAGTTGTCACTTGGTCTTGGTATTCCGTAAGATGGTATGGAATTGATGCGGCTCCAGCAAATATACACAAGTTGTTCGATCCATGAGAATTCTTCTGGTGGGACTCCGGTTTGGGGGCCCGTGGGTACGGAGCACTCAGATCAACAACGTGTGCCGCTGAAAACAGACACGGTGCAGGCCAATTACGGACCCGAGGCCCTCCCACCTGCCGCTCTCGGAGGCATTTAGGGGCGGGTTTTTGTGGCGGTGTCGTACAAGTCGTGATGGATGAGGTAAGAGCTTGGCTCGACCGTCTTGGTCTTGAGCAGAGGCTTCCGTAGCACCTGAAGCGGCTCGGATCGAATGTGCCTGGCCCCAACTGGAAGGATTACCGTGCGGTCATTGGAAGGCTCGTCTGACACCATCAGCATGGCACTGCAAGTTTGAAACCTGGTTTTTCAAGTGATTGTTGAATCCTCGGTAAAAAAAAAGAAAAAGAAAAAGAAAAAGAAAAAGAAAAAGAAAAAGAAAAAGAAGAAGAAGAAAATTGTACACAAGAAATTTTTTTTTTTTGCACATTAAGTCTTGACGGTGGTGGTACAGACTTATCTAGGATTTTCGCACTGACCTGGCGCCCTGGCAAGGTTGTGGAAAGAGAATGAGGGGGTCTTCCCGTGAGGGGGTTTAGGTGCGGGTGGGGGAACCCTAACTCTCCCGGTGCTACAGCCCTGGGACCGCACCAGAAGGTCGTTAGTATCATGGCCCGAACGGTAGGTGGCCCTTTAGGAACTAATAACGTGCATTAGCGTCTTTCGGGCAAGAATTTCTCTTCCTCGGCCCCTGCTTTGCCTGATCTAAGTATTTGCTCCCTACCTCAGACACGAAGGCATCATGGACTGTACGTAGCCTGTGTTTACACGAGTAATGTCGCAATAATTTAAATCCAGTCAGGAATACAAGGTGGGTAGGTATGTAGTATCCGGGGAACCCATTTTGTGGGCGGGAACCAGAAGGTGATCCTCCCCGGTCCTGGGATTATCTGCGGGGAGGTCTGGGCAACGTTGCCGTTTACGGACTATACGCTAGGTTGACTTGGATCCCTGTTTAGAACCGTATGCCCCAAGAGGCGGAGGTCAATGTCAACGATAGGAGGCCGAAAACTCGCTGTAATTCCCGGGCTCATGGGAAATGCAATGGAATTCGGTTCTGGAGTGCGTAGGAAGTAATAGTGATCCGGTTGTTCCTTGAAGTGGGAAGTCCGCTGCTGGATGTGATTTGCTGCAAGAAAGCTGCCTTAGTCACCCCCTCTCGGTCTGTGCCCTGATCCCCAACTAAGGATGCCTGCTGATGGGAGACTACTACCTCAAGCATCTGCACCCGAATCACATCCCCAACAAGTGTACGAACCCCTTTTGGTTCCGACCCTCCACGGCAGATGTTCTCCCAGCATTCGCTGGGAATCCAGATTGGTCAACTTGTCATCGACTTTTGTGAGAAAGCAGCATGACATCAGTAAACTGGATCGTGTGACTCGGGTTGACCGAAGTTTCTCCCTCTCGGACGGGAAACAGAATGAAAGTCTTCCTTGGTAGGTCGCATTCAATTAGAAGATAGCCACTGCCTTGTATGACTGCAATATCAGTCGTAAGCTGATACTGGTTTCCCGGTCAGTGCGACAGTATGTCACACCAAAATTATTCCCAATGACTAACTAATACGAGACAAGTCCGGGCTGCGCGTGTGCGCTTGCACCCTTGACACTAGAGCATAAAGTAAGCAAGCAAGCAGGCAGGCATGCAAGCCCACGGACAGGTAAGCAAATAATAAAATAATAAGCAAGCAAGAAGGATAGATAATACGTAGATGAATTGATACTGACTGTATCTTCACCGCTGGCCGAAGAGGGACGGCGCATCAGCAGTATCATCCCGTCGGAATTGCACGGTCGCAAACAAGGACTAGGATTGGTGCTGTGATCGGGATGCAGACGTGCTTGTGTCAGGGCGTTGGGCAACGACTTATCCTATCATGATCCTATAATTCTGCTAGTCATCTCCTGGTCATGTCCACGACGGCCCGCCCCGACTCCCGCCGATCTTATGCACGACCTGTAGACCTCGTCCTCCGGCGATACTTCAGACTGCTGGGTAGCAATCAAGCAGGAAGGGAGAGGAAACGAATGTTGGCTCCGTTTGCTCCATCATTTGATTTGCGTTTGAGTCGGATGAGGAAGTTGCAAGTCGCAGCGGCAGCCGTGGCAGTTTCCGAGTGTTATCCAACCAATTTTGTCTCCATGTAAGCACCGTTGGGTTCTTTGCGTAAGCTGTCGGCTCAAATCTCTCATAAGCTCTGCTCTTTGATTGGAAATTGCCATAGTCCACTGTTTGTGGATGACCGATGGTTTCTCCGATGACTGCCCCCTTTAGATTGATGAAAAACTCCAATGCCACCTACATACTTGAATGTACTGTAGGCTGCGCGACCACCAGAGCAACGTCAGGTTGGTAGGCCGTCAAACGGGCGTCTAGGAGATGCAGGCAAGCTTGCATCTTTCACATCTTCAGTTTCGTGCGTTTGACCTTTGAACAGAGAGGGGAAGGACCAGCATTGCATTTTCCTCGGATTTTCTCTGGCCATGATGGAGCCGATAATAATGCTTCTTTCGAAACTGAAGGATTATTCGTTGTATCATTGCAAGTGCAGTGTGAAAGGAAGAGTTCCTGTTTTAGCTGGGTGCTTTAGGGCGGTACGGTAAGGGCCCGAACCGAAACAGCGGTCAGAAACTTGAGGACGGTATTGTAATACGTGAGACGGTAAGACGACGAGTCGTACAGTACTAATTGATGATTAGTCTAGTTAGTCTGCGGTCGGTCCCCCGCCCCTCCTCCTTTTTTCCTTCTCTCTTAGCGTCTCTTGCCACGTTTTTTACGATCCCAATCGGCGCGGTGCATTGCCGTCCGCGTCTTTCCGTTGCCGCCAGAACCCACACCTCCAGTCAGCTGCGTGGTGCTCTCCAGCCCATCCGCCCGGTCGCTGCTCTCCGAATTCTCCAGTCTCAGCTTCCTTTTTTTGTGGTCCGTTTTGTCCTTCTTGGCTCCACTGCGGCCGACCGTCGAGTTTGTTCGTGTTGTCTGGGCGCTCGCTCTTCTTCCAGAGGAATCGCAGGCCTCCCAGTATGTACCATGGTTCTATGGTAAAAAGCGGTCCCAATGAAACTAAACGCCGCAACTCACCACCATACTCCTCTCTGCTTTCTTGGGGATCATCAAATCAAAGTCTTTCTGAGCGCAGCCCAATCTGAGGCGTGGTCCAGCCCTTTCAATCCCTTGTATGTCCCTCCGTCGAAATTTCCCTCCCTAAAGTGTGGGAAGCACCGCGTCTGACCTGGGATGCGATACCATCCTTTTCCCTACTTTCGTCCAAGCAAGGACCGTTTTGGTGCGCGAAAGCCGCAATTGTCACTGGTCCATGACTAAGTTGCTGCCTTAGTTACCGTCGCCCTGCTGGGATCATCGATCAGCCCGCATACGGGTTCGGTCACGTGAGCGATGGCCGGCCTATGGGAGCGCTACCTGTCTCTACTCTATCGGCCCAAGGGGACAGGGCGAGTGGGAGGGGCTGCTTACTCGCTCCGAGAAATAACTTGGTGATGTGTTCGAGGCGGATTGACAGGGCAATCTGGCCTGTGGCTTGGTGGCTTGGCTTGGGAGGATGAACCAGCAGCAAGAGCCGAACAAAAGTGGAATGTACGAGATACTGTACCTGGAAATCAGCGGCCTGACCGTCGCTCTTGTCTGGCTTGAAGCACAGTACATCTCAACCGTATGTATGGTTTGATAGCCGGCTCCCATCCATCCACCCATCCATAATTCATGACGTGGCCAAACGATGGGAGTGACCAATCTGTCGCGCTGCCAAACCTGCCTTGATCATGCAACAACAGCAGGGAGCCATCCCAACTCCAACTCCTCAAGGGAGGTTTCCTTGGGAGTGGAAAAGGGTTCATGGCGTCGCGAACCGTTCTGAATCACTGTTTCGCCCATTTTCACTTTCTCGGGTGTCGTTCTTCGGGTGTGCTTCGAAGGGGAAGGGGGTGCTTTGACTACCCCGAACCCACGCACCTGATCCGGTGCATAGGAAGCGCCGTCCTATTTACCCTATCCGGCACTGGAAGTGTGACACACTTGTACGAGGAGTTGTCGTTGTACATCGAATCGTTCCCCAGCGTAGCGTTCGTCGCGTGACGGTGTAACGGGCTATACTTTGGAGCCCGGCAGGGATGGTTGAAGGTTTGTCATAAGGGGATGAACTGACTGACCACTAGGTAGGGGGAGTTTCGGATTTTATACCAGACATGTGAAGAGACATTCTTAGCATGGCGAGCTTATTTCGGGACAGATTATCTGAAACTTATTGCCGCCCTCAACAAATGTCAAGATGAATCCAAGTAATGCCTCAATCAAAACAATCCCCACCCGTTGTTTTTTTTTTTCTTTCCACCTTGCGTCATGTAACCGTGCCTGGCCACCATCTATCATCGGCCATCATAGTCATCCGAGATCCGATCCGAGTCACACAAACGACCATAGGTAACACCTACGGTATATAGAATCAATAATACCAAGAAAGGAAACCCCCAAAAAAGAAACAAGACAAAAAGAACCCCCCCCCCCCCCGCGAACCCACCGGTATTGTCCATCTTACCTAGTATATGCAAAGCCAAGGAGAAAACAATTCAACGTTAGCATGAAAAAAGAATAAAGGGGAACGTCATCGATCTCGAAATCCGCAAGATCTACGATAGACCCGTTCTGTTTCCATCCATCCGTACCTGGATCTCCAACGCCAAGCTGAAAAACAATACCTCAGCTGGGACATAACATACATACATTACCTAACACCTACCCTGAGAGGTACCTGAACCTACTAGGTAAGGTAGGCACTGTACAGTATCATCAAGGTTTGCTCTACTCCGTACTCCCGAAGAAACGCCGTGATCCAACCCGCTAGTTATCGGACAAGCTTGTCATGCTGGCCCCCTCGATGTGATATATCACATTTTTAGAGTGTGGGAGTCCCCACATTTCGGTATGACATGATACCTATATGATATGTGATATGACACGCCTACTTTGGGAGGGAACGGGACAGGATAGGATAGGATAGGATAGGACAGGATAGGAAAAGCCGGTACGAGATGCGATGGCATGAGGGATGATGGGGCATGGATACATGCATCAGTACTGGACATGCAAGCATACAGAACACTGGAGAGGAAAAGGGAGGATCAAAGAGCGGGGAAACTGCCTATCTTGTGCCCGGCCCCCCTTGTGCTTAAAGGCTGGGTTGGGTGTGATAGTATACACTAGTGGGGAGGTACTCGGTAGGTACTGTACCCTACTAGGGTAGGGCACTGTAACTCATAGGTTGGTTTCTTGGGTCATGCTACCGGTCAAGCAGAAGCAAGGGGATGGATGGAGGGAAGGAAAGGGAAGTAACACTCGAAACTGTCCAGTACTCTTCGGCTTTCTCCTAGGCCAGGCAGGATCAAGTTCGCTATGAGTAGGTTTGGAGCATAAACACTAGCTAAGATTATTGGCAGTCTGTACTCGATATGTTTCTTGGCCCGTGCTATGACTAGCCATACCTGCCATTCATGTACCCCATATATGTGTGTGGCAAATAGGCAAACACACGAATACATACACAGAAAGCAAAGTCGAACTATGCATCTCAAGTCCTTTGATGGCAGGTACATCCATTTGTCCTCCTCATCGTAAAGCCATTCAATTCTATACAGGATATGAGGGGGAGGGAGAAAATCAAAGCTGTTTTTTAAGGTTTCTACATTGTGGAGACTTGGCAAGAGTAAAAAAAGACAATCCAAGTCCAACCTGCTCCACAAACCAATTGTCCTCTCTCTCTCTCTTTCTTGGGCCCCTTTCATACCAGACATGACTAGACTATTGTATATGTACAGTATCGAGACCTGAGAAATAAACTAAGACGACAGAAAGTTTCTCAGAAACTGATCACACTGGTTCTCGAAAAGGGGATAGAGGAAAGGAACCCGATTGTCCCCACAGGAGCCGAGAGAGAGAGGGGGGGAAATACAAAAGTTAAATCCTCCCAGAACGAATGGAAGGGGATGTGGATTTTGACTTCACTTCACGATATGAGGGGCACCCGAAGAGATCGACCACGGAGATCGAAAAAGCGCAGTTCGACGGGGGGACCAGGAGGGGAGGAGGCTGGACACCACTGAGGCAGCACGTATTTGGCAACGCCTTATTATGAGTATTACTAGTAAACGGATTCTTCCGCCTCCTCAGCACTGTCCCAGACTGTCGTCTGCGTCTTCTCTGCCCAGTGCATACTCATCACCCTGACTCGATTCCCAACATGGCCATCACGAAAATCGAGGAAATCGATACGGTACAGATACACAAGGTTCATGGCTTGCAGGGCCGGGGGTTGACATTGCTCCTCTTTCAGTTGTATCTGCAGCACAGGGGTGGCTTCGACTCAGTTCTGCGAGTTTCCTCAGTTGCCAATCTTCCCCTCAGTATGGTGCAACTGGGGAGAGAGGGGGTTGGGATGGAGTACGGAGTGCAGAGAGCGATAACCCGGAAGGAGAAGACGGTGCAGGGAGGGGCCCAGGAGAAGATAACCACCCACCCCCTCTTTCTTTCCCTCTCCCCACTCAGGAATCACTGCGTACGGAGGACGTAGAGAGAACCTTAGGAGATGTGTGTCCCTGGTGATTCGGGCACTGATGCAGTGTGCGCCGAGTGCGGACATATGCTGATCACTTGAGAAGAGAGGAAAACAAGTGTAGTCATTCAACCTGTGCCATTGACAGATCCGCACTCGTGCAGATGTGGATATTCTGCTGCTGTTGAGTCTGCTGGTCGATGGTCGACATCGTGGAGCCAACGGCACGACCGACGGCCCGGTTGAGGCGCGCGGACAGCAGCAAAAGCAGGCAATAGATGCACGTCAATGCTATCTTGATGGTCGGACACCCCAAGAACCTGTCAGCCTGTCGAGGACTAGACACGAGAACCACCGTCATTGGGGGAGACAAACTGGCGGTAAGAGAACCGCAAGACAACGGTATGGAGAGGAGAGCCCTTAGCGCAAGATGACAAAAGGTTTGTATCAAATTTACAGACGTGTCGACCAAAGAAAAGGTAGAGCCATGACATGCTAACGCTCGACAAGTCCAATTTACAGGCAAAAATGCCCGTTGTGGCAAACATACAGGACGTGATGGATGCCCACTAGGCAGATTACAGTATGCAGGGTGCCCCGACACTTCCAAAAACACGTGAAAATTTCGACCGACTAGTCCTCAAACACCGGAAGAAAGTACGCGCGAGAAAAGGAGATACAGACAATGAGGAATCATTAGACTAGAAAACATGAAACCACAGACCTAAGCTGAAAGATAAGAGTTCGAGTCATGCTTGATGTTGTCTGGAGCTTTAATCTTCCGAAGCCTCTGAATCGGTATCGACATCCTCCTGCACCGCATCAGGCATAACGACACTGTTGAGATACGTAACCTGTCAGGCGAAGTTACCTTATGGTCAGCTACAGGAAAACAATAATGATGGTTTTGTCTCGACGTCCTTGCCACTTCGCAAGTCTCGACTTTATTCGGTGGTGGGTAATGGTAGGTATTTTGCGCCCGAAGCCACACCGCTGGAGGCTAAGAAGGGAAAGGCAAAGAGGGGACAAGGGGCAAAGAGGAAACACCGTCCGTGTATTGTTGATACGGGTGCTAGGATCCAATAGACGCAGATGCGGGCAAGCGGAGAGAAAGGGATTCGAGTGGCTTACGAAGGGCTCCATGATTTCAACCAGCGCTGCAATTCTGTCCTGGGCATTCGGACTTAGCAACTCCTCATCCGAGAGAGACCTGCCGATGGTGAAACTGCGCAGACGGAGCAATTGGATATTCTCATTGTCGGCATCGTAGCCCTAGACAGAAGGAGAGTTGTTTATCAGTATCGTAATTGGATAAGAACGGGGACCCGCCGGGACGGCGGCATATGCTGAACCATGGAAACAAATGAGCCGGTGCAAAAATCTCTTCGAGGGCCAAAGTACTCCAGTGGGACGCTCAAGCAGGCATTTCCGCGCCAGAACCAAGAACGGCACTTGGGAGCTATGTCCCCCGATTAGCGCCTGAGGCAGAGAAACACGCCTGGTCCAGGGCGCCCGTCCGCGGCTGCGCTTACACACCCGTCACAACGAACCAGTCAGTCTCACTGCCATCAAGCACAAGGCTGCCAGTGCCTTTTTCATCCTCAAACATTGTTTGCTTGATTGCATCGGCTGGTAGACGAGGTGTGATGATTTCTTGACCGAATAGCGCGGCAGAAAATCGCTTTTGTGACCCAGAGATGACGCACGACATCACAACATGACTCTTTCGCCTGAACCATCAACAAGAGACCATATTCTGTCTTGACGCGACATCAACAGGTCTGCAATATCGTGCTTCCTATCGCTGCGATAGAGAGCTCTGTTTCCAGCGATGGGTTTGATGGCATTGCCGCCCGACACCAATCCCAGGTTCAATCATAACAAGCAGACATAACAACATAGGCAGTGGGCTATGTTCAAAGGCAGAGAGAGATCCACCTGGTACACAAGGGCCAGTAGGCATGGGAGCAAAAAGGGGGTGCTCTGAGGTTGCAGTAAAAGCGTTTCTTGCAAGGGAATGACGCTTACCTTAGGCTTGGTCTTGAGTGCGCTCTCCTTGTTGTGGCTAACAAAGGCTTCTACAGCTTTCTCATCATCGTCCGGGATGCTCTTAAATATTTCTTGGCGCATTTTTGGCGCTCTCAGGACTTTCTTGAGGCGATGAGAACGGTGATTGATATCCTGCCGAAGACGAGCCAGTCCATCGGCCTCTGGCGCCCAAAGGCCCGAACCTAGAACCCATACCTCTCGTTAGCTCGGCTACTCTGACATAATGACTCCGCGTGTGCCATCGCTTGCGAAAGACCTATTGAATCTGCCAGACTCGACTGCATCCGGGCGCATAACACGAGATCCAGCAACAACGTGAGATGAGGAAAGGTCGGGGCAGGAAGTGTGCAAGGAACAATGGATGCCTTGATGAAGACAAAGATTTCCCAGTTGCGGTGAGGACAGGCTTGATGGAGACACATTGAATCTGACTGGCATGCGACCGTGTCAAAGTGGGTACCTCAACTTGCATAACTCACCGACGAAACTAGCCCCTGGTTGGCAGTGGACGTAGTATGCAGCGTAAGGGCCCTTCTTGCCGGTGCGGGACCTGACAAGAGTTAGCTTATGCTGACGTTCGCGGGCTGTTGGCTAGGTACATACCAAGCTGCTGAAAAGTGCGTCTGTTCAAGATTCACAGTTAGCCCAACGATGCATCGAATCCTCCAGCCGGAGGCAGTAAAGACAGTAGACACATGAGCCTACCTTGTAGGGAAGAGGGTTTTTGCTGAACCTGATGTCTCTGTGGATGCGAAAGACCTGCGTTAAGACAAATCCACGTTAACTTCTTCGAGTTCTTCCTGCTGTATCTGACATTGAGGGCTCTTCACTTACAAGATCCTTGACAGGTAATTCGGGGATTGTGCCGTCCTGATCGATGATCTGCTCTGTAAGAGTCTCAACAAAGGTTTCCCAGTCCTTTTTGGCAGCGCGGTAGTCCGCGTCATGTGCTGTGACCGGGTCATCCGTTAGCTTGGCTCTCGAGTGCAGACGTTCGAAGCTCGGTCAGAAGTACCTTTCAGCCATTGCCTGTCATTGTTCTTTGCCAAGTCTTGGAGAAAGAGAACAGTGTTGGGATGCAGAACATTATCTTTGTAAGCTACAGCGCCAGGGTCTCTGGCCTTGGGTTTCTTGATGAACACTTCTTTTCCTGGCCCAAGGCCAGTTTTTACCCCTTCCCTCCATAGCTCTTTGCCGGCCAATGACACAGTCGTGTCTTCTTCTGCACTATTTGACCCATGTCTTCTCGAGCCAGCAGTGCTAGATTGCTTTCCGCGGCTCCGGCGGCGTTTAGGCACAGGGCTATATTCCTCTTCTTCAGACTCATGCTCCTCATCGCTCGGGGCTGATGGCGATGCTTCTTCAGCGAAGTCTGAACCGGAGTCGGAAGATGTGGGGACGCTTGTGTCGGTGTCCTCGTAGTCGGGGATTTTCGGCGCAGCTGCCTCTTTGGAGTCAAGCTCCGGATCTTCAGACGGCTCCTCTTGGAAATATTTGCTCGTTTTTGTGGTAGATTTGATCGGCTTCTGAGCAGGTGTGGTATCGTACTTTTGTCTCTTGGGCTCCGTTCTGGATGCTTCGGAGAGTCTGGCGGACACGCGCCTTTTTGGCGCGGCTTCTGGAGCTGCGGCTGCCGCGGGAACGGGCCGAGACGATCGACGAGGCATGGCTAAGGACCAGAGTTCTGGAAAGCTGTTTGTCGCAAGAAGATAGAGATAATGCTTATGGTAAGGTTTGTTGTCTCTGGAAACTATAAGTTACTACGTGGGTGTGGAGAGGAGTTGCAAACGCGATGGCAAATTCCGCGGAGGAAAATCCGATGATGACGCTGAGAAGATTTGACAGCCCGATGGATTGTCTCCTTTAGGACGGCCTGGGGCTTATGGGGGGGAAGGGTGGGACGTGAAGGGGGGTAGGGGTACGCCGGTACGGAGCGTTGGAGGCCCTCCGTCGTTAGCGACAAATTGACTTTCCAGCGGTTCGAGCGGACAACAAGGGACCGGGAATAATGAGACCAAGAGGCTGGTAACTTCTGGGGCCAATTTTCGCGTGGGAAAAGGCGGCGAGTTCGTCCAATTTGCTTCCCGCTCCGCTAAACTATCCTTAGCGTCACCGCCGCCGCTCGGCAAGTCGACGTCAGTCCGTCTTTTTCTTTTTTTTTTCTTTGGTTCGAGAAGGATTGGCAGGCGCAACTTGGGGTGGCATTCAGAATTATCTCACAATCGCACAGTTATTTGTCACCAGTTTTCGGCCGTGGGTTCGCAGTAGCTAGATAATCTATTATTCGTTTCTTGTCAGCGGACAGCGGATACCTCTTGGTTCGAGTCGGATCACTAGGAGGGGAAACAGGGATCACCAGAGCTGCCCCGCCTTAGATAGCCGGTTTCTGACGGTTCTGGGGTAATCCAGAAGAATTACCGGGTCCAAAATCATAGTGAACAAGCGAGGAATACAAGCGCAGACAAAGGCTCATCATGAGTGGTCCCGAATCCCACCCAATCCCCGAGGCTTTTGAGCTTCGAAAGCGCAGGATCCTTGCCGAACTATCCATTCCTGACGCAGAGTATACTGATCTCTCACCCAAGGGGTCGGTGGATGAAGGCATCCGTGAACTGATCGATGATATCAACACCTTGCCCGGACTAGTAACCACCAGCAGTTGTGCAGGGCGGATCAGTGTCTTCCTAGAAGGGAGAAAGAAGCGGCATCAGCCACAGCCACAGCAACAGCAACAGCAGCAGTCGTCGGAAGTTCAACAGAGACAATTCGTACCTTCAGGGGGCAAAGGAGCCGGGAAATGGCTGTATGTCTCGCATGATGCGTTGAAGGAGCATGGAGGAAAGAAAGGTGAAGCAGAAGATGATGCGGACAAGGAGATCAACATGGAGAGACCGCTGCACCGCCTATTCGGGATGATTCCTGGAGACGGGAAACCGCCAAAGCTGGACGAATCCGGTCAAGCCCCGCGTCTCGTGCGCTTCTCCTATGAGCCGATGGTAAATGCCCTTGTGCCCTGCTATATCGTTCCTTTTATTTCGTTGCTATTCATCTACCCCCTCCCCGGCAACTTGGTATACATCATTCATTCGAACTGCTTCCTCCTCAATCACCTACAGCATGTATCGATGATCACAGACAAGGTCTCTAACTAGGTTACCTAGATTCTCCATATAATGGCAGCGACCCTCCACCACGCCAACCCCGTCCTTTCCGCCGCCTCCAGCTCCGGGTTCCGCGAAAGCGGACTCCAGAGCCTTCGCTGTTTAGATGCAGACGATGCAGACGGCCCCAGCCCCATCGTTGCTGTCCGCTCCGCCGGCATGGCTCTGGAGTCACTCATCGGGTACTGCGAAGAGAAGGAAATTGATGATGACGGCGGCGAGTCCGAGCCCATCATTCGCAGTTTGGTAACGGAGGAATACCTGGAGATGTTGATCGCCATCTCGAACGAACGGTTCGTCATCAACTCGGAACGCAAGGAACGCTTCCGGTCAAGTCTGGTGGAGATGTGTTCTGCGGATCATGCTCTAGGCGTGAAGGCGAAGGGGAAAGCGAAACCGGTGGGCTGGGAGGATCCTGCTGCACGCAGGGAAAGGATGAGGGCGGAAGGACTAAGGAAGAAGCAGCAGCAGCAGCAGCAACTCGAACAGAAGAACCGAAAAGAGGAAGGAGACGGTGGTGCGATTGGCAACTTGGATTATTCATTGGAGGTTAACTTCGGCGATATCCGAGATTAACAGCATTAAAGAAGCAAAAACATGTGGGAAAATCAACAGATATTAAGGTTTTGGCAGAATCAAGAAAAAAAAAAAAAAAAAAAGGAAAAAAAA